GACCGGATCGAGCTACTGTTCTGTGATCATTTGCTACTAAGCTGTGCATTCGTGTTTTTATTTGAAACTTCTGTTAGAATATACTTTTCCTTACCAAGAAAATTAAAAAAATAAATGCATATTACATTAAAAATACTGACTATTTTTTGTATCATGTGGAAATTTTTTTGGATTGACTAATTTTTCAACATTTCGTAACGCCTATTTTAGAACCAAAATAAGGCCTTTCACTCTTCCCGACGCCTATTCAAGTGATTGTACAGTGTATTGTTTGTTTTGTGCATGTGTTGTGGACAAAAAATGACCACGCCCATTTAGTGATTGGAATATGTACGTAATAGAAACCGCACCCCGAATTTGAGCTTTCGATCCCAATTTTTAAATTGATACATTGTAATATAAACCGCGGTTTATAATAGGACTTTAACGGTACATGGCAAGCCATCCAAAACATAGCAAGCCAGTGACTGGCTCAGACACTGGTGAATACTTTTTCACTTCACAGTAATTTTGGCTTGTAACATTGCATATGACACCAGTTTGACCTGTTTGAAGCACTTGTCTTTGTTCAAATGCATTCCCACTTTGTCAACTCATTAGCATATTTTGTTTATATTCAAATAAAAAAAAGCATGCATGTAAGGCGAGATGATGTTCATAAACAAATACTATGGGCTGTAGTTATGTGGGATAGAGGGTTTAACTTTTTTTTCTTGTCTAATTCCTGGTCAATCATGCTGCACGAAACAGTGAAAGTGTTTGGCATATGACACCTGTTTAACCCCACCTGGGTTTATCCATCAGTCAACGTCTTGTCAGGGGAGACTTTACTGTTTCTTTCAGGTTAAAAGAGGGGTGTGGTGTCAGAACAGTGCACAGGATGGACGGACAGAGGCTGAACTAAAAGAAAAACAAAAAAATTATTTTGCAGACAAAATTAGGTGGTTGAATTACAATACTGTTGTTTTCAATAATTTAGATGTGTACACTAGCTATTGTCGACTTTAGAAAAAGTTGTTTATTATAAATCTAACTGTTAAACAAACCATTTATTTTCTCCATTAGGTGCGATTACCGCCAAGTATTAACGACGAGGTTGATGAGGATCCAACAGGAAATAAAGCCTTATGGGATAGGGGGTTGTTAAACGGTGCATCACAGAAAGCAGATATCGTCGCTAACTTCCATGTTGGTGAAACTGTATGTTCATTACAGAAGGCAACTTTAATACCAGGTGGTTCTGAATCTCTCGTTTTCACAACGCTGTCGGGCAGTGTAGGAATGTTAGTGCCATTTACATCACATGAGGTAATACTGCAACAAATAACTAGAAATTTGTTCATGCTGATTGCTATTAATTGACAAAAATAAATCAGTGTTAAGATCAATGATAAAATTGTTCTCACGTATTGCTACTTTTTTTTGTTAGGACCATGATTTTTTTCAACATTTAGAGATGCATATTAGATCAGAATATCCACCCTTATGTGGCAGAGACCATCTCTCATTCAGATCTTATTTCTTTCCTGTCAAGGTAAGGGACACATATGATGTATTCTTGTTACATGGGTGTATTCGCTGACACGTGGGTGTATTCGCTGACACGTGGGTGTATTCGCTGACACGTGGGTGTATTCGCTGACACGTGGGTGTATTCGCTGACACGTGGGTGTATTCGCTGACACGTGGGTGTATTCGCTGACACGTGGGTGTATTCGCTGACACGTGGGTGTATTCGCTGACACATGGGTGTATTCGCTGACACATGGGTGTATTCGCCGACACATGGGTGTATTCGCCGACACATGGGTGTATTCGCCGACACATGGGTGTATTCGCAGACACACGGCGTGTATTCACAGACACACGGCGTGTATTCACAGACACACGGCGTGTATTCACAGACACACGGCGTGTATTCACAGACACACGGCGTGTATTCACAGACACACGGCGTGTATTCACAGACACACAGCATGTATTCACAGACACACAGCATGTATTCACCAACACATTTGTACATTTGTGTTTCCCTAGAATGTCATTGATGGTGATCTTTGTGAGCAGTTTAATTCTATGGATTCAACCAAACAACGCAATGTGGCGGAAGAATTGGACAGAAATCCAAGCGAGGTGAGCTTTCTCAATAACTAGAAAATAGGACCATGATGCATTCTGTTTTTGTATTTGAATAATTAATGCATTAATATTAATGGTCGTCATAGTAAATTTGAAAACATAATGGTATAATAATCTGAAGCTCTGATCCCCTACCCACACATAGCAGTACTCCATGATGTGTCTCACTTATGTCTGCAACATCCCCTTGTAAATATTGTAATTGTTCATGTACATCTTTCGTCCATCTGAGAATCAATCTCTGAGGTACATCATGGAAGTAACTACAATTTGGCATATACAGTTTCGCTTCTTAGAATAATAATTTCTTGAGATTCACTGTTGATTTCTCTGTAAATTGCAATAACATTTTAATGAATTTGATTGCAACTGTCATATATACCTGCTTTGGCTAAATTGAGATATTGGAGGCATGATTATTGCTGCATTTTGTTTCCTTAATGGAAAAATGATGCATTTATTTACTAATTGATTTTTATTATCGTTGTATCAGGTCTCCAAGAAGCTAGAAGATATAAGAACAAGATATGCTTTCTAAAAGACTTGCTGAAATATTTTGCGCTACAAGAAGAAAAGTTGACCTGTTTTGCAAATAATGTTACTGAATTAGACTGCAAGCATTCATTGTGTGAAATACTGCCAGCAATGTCTGTGCAGTAAAAATTGAATATTGGTTTCCCAAATATTGGCTTGAAGACAAGATCGCAAAGCATACTTTGTTTCGGAGCAGTGTCTTCAGCTAGTATTTCTTGCAATTGGTTCATGCTACTAGTTATACTGTTAGAAAGTTTCTGAATTCCCATTTGATAATATAAATTCAAATAAGTGTTTTTATTGCACTGTGAAGTCTATTCATCCTGAAATCTTGGTTTGTTTGTTGGCACTCTTTAACCAATGTCATTTATTTAACACGTGTACATAATCTTTCTGGGAGTTTTTATTCATCCATAGTGTGTTTTGTTTTCTTTTGTACGAGTGTCATCTGATATTTAAAAAATAGGTTGATGAGTTTACTTGTGTTAAAACTTTGTTCCCAACATTTGTTTTTGTTAAAATCGTTAAGGCAAAACCAGAGGACAATTTGATGAATAGCTTTGCATCTTTCAGACTACATGTAGGTGAGGACATTTTAATGAGTAGGTTCCTGACTACTTGTAGATGATAAAATGGAATTTTTCCAACAACAAAAGGTTGATTTGTAAACCATGGTATTTTTTCTGTTAAGTAAATGGTATAGCACTGCCATGAAATGTATATAGTGACAATTGTTATGTTCAGTCTACTGATGTGTAAACTACTGTTAACCATGGAGGAACCATTCTTTCTCTTTGGATAGAAGAGGGGTGCCAGGAACACTGAAAATAAGAGTCAGCAGGGAACTTGCTATTGTATGAAATAAGGAAAAAAACATAATGTATTGTCAAATTAAAGAAACATTTTTAATTAAAAAATATTTTCATACTTTATATAATGGATAGTGTGTTTCGTAAACAAGTAGCAATGTTGGTAGCCTGACACGGTTGCACCCTCAGCGGTGCTCCAAATCCACACGCCTGACAGAACGATGTAGTTTTTCATTTCCCTGACAATTTTTTGTTGATACCAATCAAATTGCAGGAACGTCGGTGACAACCATCCATGACAGGGTTTATTTGTTGGCATAATATGTGATAAGGTGCTGGCAAATTTCTGCCAGTCTTGATAGTCTGAAACAGTCTGATTTTTGCAGACATTGCAAACAGCGTTTTCTTCCTTTTTAAATTGTATTTACTTACCAACTACCTCAATTTCATGATTGACAGTGTTACCATGACCACCGAAATGAATATTCATTGAAACTCATTGCAAGGTGTGAACTTTGCAAATTTGCAGTATTGATCTTGCCATGTCTGGCTACAATTTTGGTACCACTTAGCCTTCAGATGTACTGCCATGAAAAGAATTTGTTGTTCTGTGCCCCCTGTCATTTGTTGATCTGTTCCACTCTGCTAGGATTACCCTTATCACTTTATGTGCGTGTCTTCAGTTAATAACTTTTCTGTGATTTGGTTGGGCAATAACTTGACAGAAGGTCACACATGCGCTCCAGAGGTGGAAATATTTAATTTAAAAATAGTTCTGTTGATTTTTAGTTATGGCTTTGCGCAAAATGTATCCTCGTACAAATCTTAGTCAAAATCACAGACATACCTCATACTAAGTTGCTTGAGTGTCTGCCTAAAGTTACTTGTGTTTTTTTAGTCTGTCCTACCATTACCATGGCAATAGCCAAAAAAATGATTTTTGGCTTGCCCGTAATGAAGTGAATGAAAAGTCATAGTAGTAGCAAAATGACTGTCGTTCATTGTCCTAAACTTTCTTGTGGGCGTGATAACGTCAATAATCAGCAAATCACTATCAAACTATATATATAGTTGGCCTGTATAGATTTTAGAGTTAATCTTCCAAAACGTGTATTTGTGGTGTCTGATGAGGAACTTGTAGTGTAGTGGTTAGGGCTTTTGCTTTGCAAGTGGAAGAGCACAAGTGTAAATCCAGGCTAGGAACAACTTTTAATACTTTTTTCTTTTGAGTGAGGAATTCTATATTTTTTTTCTTTGATTTTTTTTTTAGCAAAAGAAGCAAGTTGTCCTTTCCCTTCCTAATTGGTCTTGACTACAAAAGTTAGTCTCACTTGGTTTGGACGACAAAAGCAAGTTGTCTTTTTCTTCTGTAGCTGGGCTTGACTACAAAGCAAGTTGTCTTTTCCCTTTCCAGTTGGTCTTGGCTGCAAAGCAAGTTATTTCCCTTCCCAGTTGGTTTTGATTACAAATCAAGTTGTCTTTTCCCTTCCCAGCTGGTCTTGACTATAAAGCAAGTTGTGTTTTCTTTTCCCTCCTAATCTTGTCCATGAAAGCAGGTGCTCTATTCCCTCCCTGGGTGGTCTTGACCATGAAAGCAGGATCTTCACTATAAAAGCAAATTGTCTTTTTCCATTCCTGACTGGTCTTGACTACAAAGAAAACTTGTTCATTCCCTCACTGTCTGGTCCTTGGAACTGATTCAAGTAAGTTGTTTATTACTTATACATTATCATACTTTTTCTTTATGTTTGCCAAGTTTACAAATTTCATTGCATAGTATTTGAATAATTTTGTTCATGACAACAACAATTATCACTCCAACGAATAGTAAAAATGCTGAAATGTCGATCAGATAGTACTGAACAATATTCAGATGTCCACCCTCTGACCGCAAGTGTTCTCCGCCATGTTTGATCACGTGTTCGATCCAATATACAATCGTATCTCCTGGCGACAATGGCCAATCCCTGTAGATATGCGATAGTTTTTTGGCGTTATTTGTGTACCTATAAATAAACAAGTACTGGTGATTAAAATGATTTCTTATCAAACTTGATTTCCAGATTTCAAATTTTCATAATTGTGAGTAATATAGAATCTGCTACTACATGATGTGGAAATTAGTGGGGGATATGTGTTACCTTTCATTGTTTATTATCTCTGTGATTGCATCATACAGACCATCTTCAGTCATGGACTTGAGATCCATCGCAATGGCCATCCCCTTGTCGGCTAACCAGGCAATATTATCAACTTGGTCGTTGATCGCCACCGGTATCCCTACCACAGGCACGCCATTATATATGGCTTCATGAACACCATTCAAACCACAATGGCTTACAAAGGCCCGCGTCTTGGGGTGACCTATAGAAGAAAACTATCATTGCATCAATTGACATAGTTAGATTAATATTCAAAAAAATTTTTATTCAGTTTATATTCAATAGAAATATTTATAATTTCATGTCCTCCAAACAAAAATTATGGGGGTCTGACTAAAACACATTGGCTCTGTAGAACAATTTTGATCTGAAAGCGACAGAAAAAATGCTGTTTTTTCAGGGCAGAAAGGACGCGTGTGTGTGTGAATGCAATTTGAATTTTTTATTGGCAGCATAAACATGCTTGGTTGTGTATTCGTCAAGTCGCGCCCTCTAGTGGCAGAGAGCTTTTGTGACGTAAACACGTGCAGTAAGTTGCGCCGTTTGCTGTGTAGATATTGCTTTGATGTCCTACATTTTTGGAGAGAATTGCTGTCTCGTTCGTAAAGTGCCTTCAGACTCCCTTCTCCCCAGGGGGAATAATGGTACAAACCCACAACTTGTTTATTTATATACGTATAGCGGATGATTTTTATTTTAAAAATTAGTATTTATTGATTTTCAGCCCCCAAGTGACTGTGTACAAACCCCTTTCCATGGAGCAAAAAATAAGCTCTGCCCTTACCAAGTAAATCATTCTGTGGCATCCATTCTAGGAGCTTAGTGTTATTTCCCAATGTAGGAATTGGAGGACCGCTGTACTTCATGATGACTTTCTGAGGTAGTCTGGCGAATACAGACACTATCATGCCTAACTTTGAAAAATGACGAGGATTATGGTATGATCCAAGGGAAAATATCACAACACCATGGTCTTTGGACGACTGCATAAACTCTTCCAATTCCTACAATGAAATATTGTTATTAGCTGTCATGCCCCACTAAAATAAAAGTACCGCCAGAATATTTGACTTAAAATTGCTCACATTTAGCAGCACCCGCGCAAAATGGGCGGGAGACAAAAACCCGCGCAACTAGACACTAAGGATTGCGCCCTCACAGATGAAGTGCAATCGTATATATCCATATCATAGAGGGCGCAGAAACTGTTTCAAAGGGCGGTATAAGATGGACCACACGTACCTCATCAAGGTCCTTTACAGGTGTCACAATTACACCACCGATGAACACAACGTTTGGCATGAACGGCTGTGGGTAGTCAAAAGCGAAATCCGTATTGAAAAAGAAGAGATCAGCGGAAGTAAAAAGTTCTGTCATACTTATTTCGGGTCGAATGCGATATTTTTCTTTCAGTTGTGCGTAAGGTGGGAGCATCAAAAAGTTAAAAAATATATATGCCAGTACATAGTTGATGGTGTTGGTCAGTCTCTGTACAAAGTTCATTTTGCTAGTAAGTGCTGATCCCATAGCTGGTACATATGATGGATTAAGTGGAACGTTGCACATGCTTCCCTCGATTACCGGGGATATTCGATTGTTACCCACTAACACGAAATACATATTCAACTGTTGTGCTAGTAGTATAGGGCATACTACAAATACGTTTGCAATGACCAGGTCATATTTTGTACGATGTAGCCTCGACAGGAGGGCAGACTGGCTGAGAACCAGATCACATTCCGGTACGCGGGTTTGCCATCTTTCTAACCATTTCCACCAAGTATCGTACCCCATTAACGGCTTTTCATCAGAGCTTAACGCGTAATCATCTCGGTATTCGTAGGTTTCGGTGCTTGTAAACGTGTGTCTGCACTCTTCTACCGAATCCAGAGACATGACGGCCGTATTGATCAGTATGGTTACATGGTGGCCTCGTCGGAGCAGATATTGTCCGATTCTTTTCATGTATAAATACGTACTACCTGTACTCATTCCCGGTAACACTAGAATTCTACGAGGAGTCACCTCAGATGTTTCCAGGCACATGTCACTGGTGATGGCGATAAAAAATAACAGCCCACGAAATACATTATGCATTTTGATAACCATGATGCGGAATTCGTGAGTTAGGGCGCCCCTTACTATAGACTGATATCGTGTATCTCCGTATTTACCTACGCCACTGCCCGACATTCTATTTGCATATATGTCAGCTGTACTAAGATATTAATATTTATGATAACTGCATAATACAAACCAATAAAACCAGCAGTGACTCTTGGGTTATCACTTCGAAGTAGATCTGAAAAGTCTGATTTATAATTAAAAGTTTCCATTTAAAATTGTTGCGTTCTTTTTTTCACGATCTTTGTATTAGTCATCGACGGAGAACTGCGTTCAAATTCATCCTATCATATTGTTTAGTAAAATTGGATTTTCAAAATTTTAGTTAAAAAAGGTTACAAGCCGACCTAAGTTTTAATTTTTAACAGTAAGACTGGAATGTGACGGGCGGGCAGTACTCAACCACTGATTGTATACCAAATGGTTTATTTGTCAAATACGCCAACTAAGTCGGAAAAGGGAAAGTCTGAATGCACAAGAAAATATTCGTTTTAACTTTTAACAGAAGCAAACGAATTCGGAGAAATATAATCACTGAATGTCAATTTTATTAGGTTTTGGACCACAAAATGCCACTCTAACGTGAACATGCAGCCTCCGAGTCCCAAAACTCAAATATAACCAAGACGTATAATGTGCCGATTTTCAATCGATTAAACGTTGTCTTGACAGTCTTAGAGCGGCTTCTCTTCGTAAAATAATATACTCGCATTCACCAAAGATTGCAAACTTACATGTTACAGAAATAAAATGCTGGCAATTTTATGCAGGATGCGGATGAAGCTAAAATCCGTCTGAATACGTGTGAACGTGTCAGGTGTACCCCCATTTCATAGTACTGGCTTCACGCACTAGTTAGGGTACTTTTACTACCCAAGCCTTGTTGGCTATACCTCCAAGCTGGAATATACAAGACACACTAAACAAAATATCTACACATTCCAATAAAGGTTGAGCATTATGTGTTTGGGCTGTTCATACTGTGAATTATTAAACCTACACATTCGTGTCACTTTTTTAGGTTTTTTAAACACATTGCATTTTTTTGCCTAATTTTTTAACAGCAAAAAACAAACAAACATACATACATTTAGTTGTTCTGGTGTCTGCATCAGTGTTTTTTTTTCCTTTTTTTGCGAAATCATTCAAAATTTTTAAACGGTTCAACTTTACCAGGGCAAGAAATGAGTTGAGTTTCGTTGACCGTGTTTTCTGACAGCTCTACGATAATAATTTACCATACTCTACGTCCGACCCACTACTGTTTATTAGCTTTTGATGCGGAAAAAGAAACATCCGGGGATTGCGATCATGACATAGCAACCCGCAACCCACACCAACCAAATTTTATCTCACATCCACTTTGCATTCGTCAAGCCACTGATGTCCCTATATCACAGCAGATTCAATTATTCGGAGATTCAATTGCTCAGTTACTCGTATTTTGAAGACCAACAAATTACCGTTCTTGTATTTATAAAAACGTATTTGGGAATCAAAAAAACCTGTCAATATACCTTAGATGCAAATGGGATGCCGAGATCTCGTTGAGAGCGAGAGCGCCACGAGATTTGTTTAGCATCAGGAACAGCAGACGAGATGACCGGAGTAAATGGAACATTATTTGAGGGTCAACAAATAACTTCGAAATTGTGTGTCCTCTTGTTCTCAACAAAATCTTGGAGGTCATTTCCCCAAGGAGAGGGGCGGGTTTACTGATTTGGTTACCCATCTGGCTGTCCCTATAATGGCATTTACCATATTCCCACACCATGCACAGCAGCACCTGGGATATGGGGTGGTTGGCGTCTATGGTATATTTATTTAATTACTATTACAGAGTTGTACATGGTTTGGTGGCTCTAAAAATTATCACTCTGATCACTATTAGACATGATGGATGACTTACACCTCAGGGAATCAGTGGTTGTATTCTAAAATAGCAGAGGAAATCTGATCATTATTCTATCAGGTGCAGTGAACATAAGTGTTCAACAGCATTTCATGAGGTAATGAACAGATTTGGCAATTTCTTGCGGAGAGGATATTTCAGAATTGTGTGGGTGTTGTGATTTTTTTTTCTTGTATATCTCAAGGAATGGGTTTTCTAATTTATTATGGTTAGAGATTTTTAGGGAAGACATACCTTCAAAGATTTGTGAATAGGGGGCACAATTATCTGTCAGAGGTCAAATTCAATTGGTCAAATCAAGTGGATTGCTTTTTGCCAGCAACTGTTCATTTTTAAAACCTACATCACTCCAGTAGTTTCATTTCCAACTGCTAACACTGAGCATACATGCAAACTGTAGTTAATATTGACATATGTCGCTACAAACCAAAGTTGATAGAGATAGAGGGTTCATAGGAGTGAATACTCCACATTGATGAAGATAGGGAGTCTTGAGCTCCTTTGAGATATGAACCATAACATGATAAATACTATATTTCGTACTAGTGAAGTACTTTTTTTTATTACACAGCAATAAATAGTGACAGTAAACAAACACACATGTAATTCTACGCACACAGAGTGACATAAGACAAATCTCTCTTAATATATCCTTGGCTTTACATTAAAATAAATTCTATAATAAAATGCAATGATTATTTCAGTACAAGATCTGTAGAAAGTATAATTTAAGTACATAGCATGATTGGCAGAACAACACCTCATTTATTTTTCTTTCATTAAACAACTGTTTTTTTGTTTTGTTTTTAAAAAATATATTCTCAGAGTCTGTCTTGGAAGATTTGTTTTCAATAATAGAGTAGAAGCACTTTATGAAATGCTTTAATGAAAGATAGAGGGCAGTGCATAGAGTTGACCTATATAGGTCATACATCCTGGTATTTTTCAAATTATTTACAGTATTAAGACATTTTGTTTTTAATTGTGAATGAATATCCTTCAAATCCAAGGGGCTGACCATTTAAAATCATGGGGACTTCAAAGAGGCAGACAGGATCTCATTTTTGATAATTCAGTTGTTTTTATCATATGATTTTTCTAGTCCCTATAATTTTTATTGGCCCGCCCCTAAATATAATCTTGTAAATCATCATTATTTACAGTAAGACAGCAATCAGAGACTTGTATGTAGAAATGAGTATTACAGACAACAAGTAATAAACTCTGTTTTGACTCTCAATGAATGAGCCGCTATTGGGAACTGTATCCAAGAAAAAGTGTCAGTTTTAATGTTAAAAGGCCCCTAAAACCATAGAGCATGATCACCATAATGCAAAGAATAACATATTTCCTCAAGTACAAGCACACATTACAGATGATCAAATTTCAAGAATAATAATTAGCCTGAAATTGCCAATTATTATTAAACTACACTTTATGTGTGCATGTAACAAGAGAATATGCCACATTCAGAAAATTTACAAAGACTTTAAAACAGCCTAATAACATAAATAGAAATATTTCATGATCTAAGTTTTTAATTTTACTCTAAAAAAAGTTGCATAGCTACGATGTTTATTGCATATATTATCTGAAAAACATACATATATACGAGTAATATAGTTTAATTAAATTATAATAATATAGAAAGTAACTCTGTTCTAATAATAAGTTATGAAATATCTGACATAAACTCTACCCTGTAATAGACAAACTTCACATAAGACGGATGGCTGGCAGAAAACATGCTCAGCCACAGCTGTACAAAACTACACATTGGATGGACTAAAAAAAAGGGTCACATTTTATTTACATTGATAAAATAAAGCTGTTGATAATTACACACTAGATACCTGACTTGCTTGGTCTGTTGCAGTAAGGAAAAACTGCTTCTGCAAGTCAAAATTCAGAGGATGTTTGGAAGATGTAGAGTTTTAAAACTTCATTCAATTTTGTGATTTTCACAAATGTTGATTGTATGGAGAAAATTTTTTTAACGTTGATCAATACAGACATAATATGGTATACCGCCTCTCATTGAGGGACAGCGTATGGTTACACAAAATTTGAAAAAATGTGTGCACAGGAGATACTGTAAAATACTTTATTTTAGCTGGAATTAATTTTCGCTGAAAAGACTTTTTAGGTGTTTTGTATGGAATTAATTTTCACTGATTTTTGACGAGTTGAATGTGAATTATAGGAAAAAAGGTATATTCGCTGGATTTTATTTTTACTGAATCATCCCTTCAGCGAAAATTAATTCCAAGCGAAAATAAAGTATTTTACAGTAGTAGTAGTAAAAATAACGTACAGTGGTCATCACTCCTGTTTTTGAGAAAAGTATTACATTAAGCCAATAAGTTACATTGTTTGTTTTTCATGATGAAAATTGGCTTAGGAGAGATGAATTTTCACTGCAAATTGCACTTATCATTGGCATTGGACCCAGAAATTGACATTTGCCTGAATCAAAGTAAACAAATGACTACCTAAAAAACATTCCAGACGTACATTTGTTTGGCAGGCAGGCCTGTGTCCTTTAAAGAAACACTGACTTTTTATCTATTACAGATAATAAAGTGATCTGTTTAGTTTACTTCAGAACACCAAATTTAAAAAAAAATAAGTTGCTAAACTTTTTAAAAATATATTCAAGATTTTAACAATTGACTATCTTTTTAAAATGTTTCTATATGCACTTCATTGTCAGTGTTAGAAACTTGAATGATCCTCCCTAGCAGCATCTTTTTATTTTTCTGATCAGCTGTCATCAAAACAGTGACAGACCTTCATATTTTATTTGACAAAATATTTTCATAAAAAGCGTTGAACAAAATTTTAAACTATAGATCAAATTTTATATTCTGTTCAAAATTCTAAGCTTAATTTAGAAAAAAATTTTTGTATCGAATATATAGCGGGAACAAATTTGACTGCAAAATTATTTAGCCACATCTATCAGTTCTACTTAACATTTTTCATTCTTACATAATTAACTATGTACAGCACATGAGAGATCAAAATGAGAAATTATGTGTCAAATTTAACATTTTCAGTCAAATTTTATAATAAAACAAGTCATTGTCAATGACACGTCCCCGTTCCGTTCATATTTGAGTGACATATACATTCAAAGCAGATCATGACCGAAATGCACCTGCATATGTACAACACATTGTGCTAAATCTGAACAAAATCCATCCATGCATGACTGAGATCCGGTTCTGGAATTGTGAAAATACGTGATTTTGATGCATTTTCGGCCTTAAAATGGCCATCATTCCGCTATTGTTAAGCAGATCATGAAACAAATGCACATATCTATTTGTGACATGATGTACC